CACAGTAGGCTGTCGCTGATAGTATACGGCCTATAGATGTTCAGTATCTCACGTAGACTATTGTTCATAAATACTCGTTCCTTCTTAATGATGGTTGAAGTAGTCCTCCGCGTTTCAGCTCTGTACAGTAGAACTGTCTTGAAGTTCATATTATAGATTGTTAGTTTGATATTGCATGACAGTTATTTTGAGTTCCCTATGTTCTTCAATTGTAGGAGTGCGGTCGTTTCTTTACCAATCTTTGCCTTCGCGTCTGAATTCAAATCTCCTTGTTCATCGTTGATAGTTCCTAGGTAGGAGAGGAATTCCACAACTTGCAGATTTTCATATTCAAGTGCGATTGGGTTAGTATTATCGATGTTGTATTTGAGAATCTTGGTTTTTCCTTTGTGTATGTTGAAACCCACTGATGTAAATCAAATTAACTGAATATGAATTTTCCTTAATTTCATCCAATCTATCAGTATCATGCACATATTACCTATATTCAGCATTCCTTTCGATTATTTTTATCACTGTGTAATATGTGATTCGAATCTTGTTCAAATGAGCTCTCATTTTGCTAGTAGAATGTGTGACCTGTTAGATCGAAATGGATTTAAGCTAGTTTCCATACTGTCTACATTTGACTAGTTGACTAGTTCAATTATTATCGCTTAGACAAATAAAGAAAGCAAATGTATACATTAGTATATGTTATATTGCTATGTGTAGCTGAACGCCATATATGAGACTGGAGGTTCGCTATTGATATTGTGGATGGTTCAGCAATACTTTGAAAAGTTTTACTGATTGCTCATACGCAAAATCAACTTATTTGTTAACCGATTTCATAATTACTGGTGATTCCTTTTAAGCGTTCTCAAACACCATTGCCATTAGGACAGGATTCGATCTACACTAAGAAGGTCTTGACACACATGACATTGATCACCACTCAATGATCAATCAATCGTGATTACATCTCAGTCCTACAGGAGGTTGACCGCGGCTCGGATAGCTCAGTGGTAACGTCTGTGGCTGTGAAGCTGGATGACACGAGATCGAATCCGCCAGGGAGCACCAGTTCCCTCGAGATTACAGGTACACCTTGCTGACGAGTGCCAAGTAGCACGAGACTCGAGTCCAGGGTTTCTTGTTGACTACCTCCAACCATCATCTATATGTCAATATATAGTGCCCGCAGTGTCGAGTCACCTAGACTGGTGACCACATCGCAAGAAGATCGATAGCATTCGATCTGCACTAATAAGGACAAGACACGCATGACAGTGATCACCACCCAGTGATCAATCGATGGTGATTACATCACTCAATCTCGTGGATTGCTTGCAGTTAGACATTGACATTGTTGGATGTCGGTTGGCTCACAGGTCTAGTGGTTAAGCGCTCGCACATGAGACTGATATATCCTGAGTTAGACTTGAATTGTGTTTATGGAAGCTTTTCGGTGAGATAATGATACACAGAACGTGATTTGTTGTTTAAAACAATAATGCTGACGGTGAAGACTGATCACAATCTGACATCCGTTAACCGTGAGGAGTATCAACCAGTCGCATGTTATTGTATCTAGATAAGTGATGACAGTTCCACAGATACACAAACTTGAGAATTCTGTAAGATTACAATCACCAAGACTATTTTAAATAAGATGGTAAACATTTTTTGTGCATATTGCTGGCTGGTGCCAAATATTCTCTGAGAGGATGATAAACTACTTTTTCTCAACTCATTATCTCAGTAGTAACTAATCTGTAACTACAAATTGAGAATCTTTTTCATTTTTATGCTGTGTGCTTATCGTTGATTGTCAGTCATATGAGTGCATCATTAGAAAGCGACATTCCTTTATATATTCAAAGTAAATATCACGCTAATTACACAATAGAAAACATCAGACAACCTAATTATTCAGATGAAATATGATGATAAACAACAAAAGTTTTCATCATTGACATGTCTACAAGCAACAAATGAGGTCAACAGACTTATGTCGGCATATCACACGTTCACATAATGTACACTATTATTTACACTAGTGTTAAATTTTGAAAAATAATTCTATTACAGAAGCGCTAAGTAGATTAGAAGAACTGAAATAGATTTGCTGATTTTGAGCAATATTTAAACACATAATCGTGACTGAATCGCCAAAGTACAGTCCTCAGTGTGAACGGTTTCACGAGTGCGAGAGTAGCACGTGTTGTGTTCACTTCAAACAAATACTGTTCGTTGACGATCATATTTTACTGATGAACAATCATATCATCTTGAACCTCCGATCAAATACACTTCTTGTTGTCAATCACACTATGGTCTTGAGTAATTTATGGATGTAGAAGATGGGTGTCCACTTGACCGAAATGGAGAGGACGGAATTCAAACAAGTGAAACAACGAACAATTAGTGATATTCATTATGGAACTGAAATCATGCATCAATATCTCTCTGATTACCAATAATTATACATGTCAATTGTCATAGATTTGCAGAAATTCTCTTGGAATAATTATCGGGTTATATCAAGCTCATCATCATTTGTGCATTTTGTGCATATTGGTCTTTCTCTTCAGGGAAGTGAACAGAATAAATTACTCTGCATACTCAAAGAAATTGAACCTGCAATGTCCTTGTTAGCTTACTCCATTTCATTTCAAATGAGGTCCACTTCAATAAGCTTGATTGTATTTGACAATTTTGTAAGCCTATCTATTTCATCACAGACTACTACTCCTCTACTTCTGTTTGGATTTCAACAGAAATTGAGCAAATTAATGTTGTCATTAGTTCGATGTGTTCTAATGTACGATTACAGAATTCTGTCAAATCCTTATTCCTTTCTGTTTGTTCCCGGTTATCTACATGTCATAACAGGAAAGTCTTGTATTCTATCACAATGATCTAACAGAACTTTCTCTAGTCGTCATTATTCAAATTAAATTGTTCGGAATATCAATGATGATTTGAATACAAGTTAACGTGATAAAATCCGAATTCGTTTCTTAAACACACAGCACAAGCGTAACTGTCTCTCAAATTTGTAACGTCAATTTCATGTGTACACTTCTTGTAGCAAAATCTCAGTATGACATGTGATGAGGAATTAGCATGTCGCATTTAATAGCTCACTTGCATTTAATCTTGTTTACATTTAATTTTATCAACGTAATCCACTATTGCATTCATCATGAACATGTTCAATTATTTTATATTATTGCATTCACAAGATTCACAATATACGTTGAAAGATTATCATTAGTCACAGCGTATTGTGGGAGAGAACAAATCAGCTTCCGTCTGAGAATCAGATATATATCACAAAAATCCTCAATCTGCATCTTAAAGCAAGCGCTGACTTGTAATGCTGAAGGGCAAATAACACACAGTGTGTAGTGAATTAGAAGCAGACATCAAAGGGATGAATAGCAACTGGAAACAACTAGAATAGTTTGTCTAGATCAAAGTTAGATGAGGGATGTATATGAGCGACCTATGCTACAACGAGGTGTAACAGTCGCATATGAGTCAGTGAGTGAGTAATACGTATAAACTTAGAAACCAATTATTTAATCTTATCCAACTTGTCCACCTGGTCAATTCACGTATTTTGCGAAAACATTACGGAAATGTACAGTCAAAATTCATATTATACAGTTGACTTTGGTAGAATTTAGCAGTTGATAATACAATTACCATTACCTAAAACAATTCATCAGTCTCCGTTAAATATTTACTAGAGAAGGAAGAAATCATTTGACAAAGAATAGTCTCTTTCTGAATTGATAAAATACACTGAGGTACACCACATGTGATCAATTAGTTGTTTCAAAGACCTTTTGTTAAACGTGCATGGCATTCAGTAGACAATCGTGAATCCGCAAACGATAATGTTTGACATTGATGAGTTGACATTCGTCTCTGCTGTCATCATCAAACTGCATTGAGAGATAAAGACAATGATTTGTAATTGTCAAGATGAATATCAGCTTTATTCATTGCTATGTGTTTGTTGAAACATTAAATTCTCTGCATCGGGTATTCCACATTTCCCTTTACAAAAAGTGGAAAAAGTTAAAGAGAACATATAATTCGAGTAGATAATCTACATGGAATTGAATGGGTTGTCTATTGGAGACAATTAGGCACATTCAGCAAACTGAAAGACACAACAGCGAATAAATACAAAGCAATTTATATAAACCCATAGAAGTACTACAATGTTCAAAGTGGTTACCTTCTTGAAATACAATGACACAAACATTGTTTAGATTGAGAATATAAACAACTGATGGTGACAACTATGGACAGAATTTTCGATTTGGAGCATATCAAAACTGTGGCTCAAATAAATTACAATAATTTCAGATGAATCAATTCGCAATCAAGAACTACATCGATAAAGTTCCAGATTATCAATCAACTAGGTAACTGTCAAACAACCATATGGTTATAAGTTCAAAAAAAACAATTGACGGGTATAACAGAAAACATAACGATGATAAAACACGGAAAGATAACTGGGTAGAAATAAGGTTAGCAAAATGGATTGAGGGGAAAGTATATGCATCCAGCTTTGTAGTCATTGATGTAACCACCTAGATTGTAACGACCGAACAGCCAATATTCGGTTGGAACAACGGACTGACGAACCCTAAATTTATTCGATTAGACCAGACCAAGTTCCTCTGTATAGCCCACAACGCGTCTTTGAGATACTCGTATTATATTATATCAAAACACAAACTCTGTGCTCAATATAAACGGTTCTAATTAAGAAAACAGAACAAATTACATCGAAAAATACAAAATACCTCAAACGGTACAGCCTGTGCTATACAGTCAGAAGTTTCTCTAACGCAAAGTAGCGCGCTAAACAATGAAAGAGACAGTTAATACTAAAGGGTTTGATACCTGAGAATCAATACAAATATTCCCAACAAAATGGGATCAAATATCTATCTGCAGGGATTGCAGCGATTCTCCCAAGCAGACAGTCAGAAGGTTAGCAGTCACAAAATAGACCACGCCGCGACCTTGAGCTTAGTCAAACGCAACCTTACTGTCAATGGTCCGGCAACATGCAATAGAAAATTAGGTAACAAAAATAAGTCTTTAATCAAAATCACATAATAAAGGCTCAAACGGGGAAGACTTAAGAACAAAAGACATAGTTAAATGAGATCGAAACAAAGGTTGGAATACACAAAAAGGGAGAACGAACAAATAAATGAAAATACTGTTCAACAAAAAAACTGCAGAGGGATTTTCACTGTTCTTTTTCCGTTACACCGGCCCCCAAAATCCCTCCAGCTACGCAAAGACACCTTAGAATACATTTCTGTCATTGCTCTCCTTACTAACTGCTCTATAACAATGGGAGGCACAGGACTTACAACAGTACGCCTGTACATCCATAAACCTAAGCTACAATTTCTCGGCTCCCTCTAGAAGGCAGAGCTTTCGCACATCTCTTCTTACTACACCTTCTCTCATTCGCACCATCACTGTCTCTTAGTAATAACAAAGTGTTTGGCGTGAGCGCCAAATCATCCTTTTCATCTGACGTCGCAGGAACGATTGAGCGGTTGTTTAAAATTCGTTCTACCTCCACAAAATAAGTTGCCAAACTATCCTCGTCCAATATTTGCCCGTTGGAAATAAATAGTAAGATCCTTCGAACAGACCGTATTAATCTCTCCCAAACTCCGCCTCGATGGCTAGCTAATGGGGGGTTGAAATGCCAGCGTATACTCTTCGATACTGTTAAGTCGTTTATTCTATGCTTGTCCCACACACTCATATTAGCCCGTAATTCGGAAGTGGCCCCGACAAAGTTAGTCCCATTGTCGCTATAGATTTCCTTAGGAGTTCCTCTCCTTCCTATGAAACGTATTAAAGCCATTATAAAAGCATCAATACTCAAAATGAAAGCTACTTCCAAACGTACGGCACGTGTTTGGAGACACGTAAATAGGCATCCGTATCCTTTTTCCTCGCTTCTTCCCCAACGCACTATCAACGGCCCAAAGTAGTCTATTCCGACGGAGGAGAAGCAAAACCAGCCTTGCTGCACTCGATACTTGGGGAGAGGTGCCATCATCTGTTGGCCTAATGTGGCCTTCGCGCGTATACACCTCACACATCTACCTATCACTCGTTTAACTCCACTGGTTCCTTTAACAATCCAATAATTTCGTGGTATGGTAGCTAACACTTGTAATGTCCCGGTGTGACCTTCTAGGTGGTGATGGTGTCTAATAATAAGTTCTGTTACGTAGTGATGACTGGGTAAAATTACCGGATGTCTGATTGAGAGTGGATAATCCGAGTAATTTAATCGTCCGCCGACACAAAGCAATCCATCGATTAGCGTAGGTGAAAGATTTTTTAGCTCTTTTATATCAGTTGCGCTTACGCCATTGCATCGAGACACTTTTACTGCCTCCCCATACACTCCCTTTTGCACTAAGGCCAATACCTTGTGTTTAGCTGCATCCAATTCATCAACTGACAGATAGCCCACACTTAGGGACCTGTCCTTTAGATGGGAATACATGATGGTTATATAGGTCACGTATCTTCTGAGCCATGCTACCGCTTTAATCAGCCTTATCCAATTTGAGTGATATAGCAGAATTGGACTTAAGCTATGTTTTAGTGCAATTGCGTTGGTCGTGTGACATCTTTTAAATTCAACATTTTCTGGGGGGTTCTCGCACATAAGCGTTAGTGTTCTTACAGACTCCCTCTTTCTTAAGAAGGAAGGACCCTCAATCCAGTTCTTTAAATCTAGCTCCTTCCGTATGCCTCGTGATGTCCAGTCAGCAGGATTTTCATTGGACTCTACGTGCCCCCACTGGTCCACAGATGTTAAATGATGAATAGCGGCCAGGCGATTAGCCACGAAGGTGGAATACCTACTATCTGTATTTTTTATATAGTACAGTACTATCATAGAATCCGTCCAGAAGTGAGTCTTGTCAAACACCTGAGGAAGGTTCCTATTTAAAACTTCCCCCATTCTAGCACTCAATACTCCCGCTGTTAGTTCCAGTCTAGGCACAGCTACCTGTTTTATAGGTGCCATTCTAGACTTACTATAGAGTAAAACGATGTCCGGTGGTTTGCGCCTGAGTATGTTCCACGAATAGACAGAGGAACTGCAACCTGTCTTAGTCAGGATCTTCATCCTAAAGTCGGCAAGAACCCTACCAGCAAAGTCCAATCGCAAAACAGTATAAGGCAACGCATAATCTTCATAAATCGGAACTGTGTGGGTCACACCGTCACCTAAGTCCAACACTATACCAGTTGTACGATCAGATGTACATCGCGACAACATCGTTTGAGTAGCAGCACACGTACCTGGTGTATTAAAAGTCTCAAACATGATCCTTGTCATCTCACAGTTTGCCTTCGGGTTCAATGAAACTGCTCTCAACAACCCCGGATGTTTCTCTGTTGCCACTCGCAACCCTTTGTAGAATGTGTGGTACCACATCTTCCCCATATCACCTCACTTAGTCGCAATACCATGTTCAATTCGGTACTTCAGTGTCAGGATAACACGTTTCGATCGAGCATCGTCTCCCACATGACTGTCCTTTCCATCCATTCCCACAGTCACTACTTGATGTCTAGTTCTTCCAACAATAGGGAGTAATACGGCTCTGGGAGCATCATTTTTGGTGAAGCCAGCTTTACACATACCAGACTCATTGCAAATAACAGGGGTAGCAATGTCTTACTCAGCCACTCCTCTAGGTAGAGGAACAATATTGTAACTTTCATCGAAGTAGGCATCGCGCTCTACTGTTGGAAGTTCATGACCTACACTTAGAGATTCCAAGGTCACTTTCTCCTTCGTTCCTGGATAATCTAACAGTTTCGACTTTTCTAGAGACTTTATCCTAAGGTCATGAGAAGGACTTACGAACCTGTGAACGTACTCCTTTTCTCTGTCATCACTGTTAGAAACAGAAGATAACTTGCTACACGTGCTTTCGTTCAGCCTTAACGACCCAAACTCTCTCTGAAAGCACAGTAGTTGTTTCCTCTGTCTATCTTTCAAGCCCCTCATTTCTAATAATTGCCTTTCTTATAACTCTGCTAAGGTAATACTAGGGCTAACTTTACAACGTCTACTTAATAAACTAACATTAGAGCCATGACATGAAAATGCATCTAATTTGACTTGCCGTACCTCTGAAGGTGTATCCAATTGCATTTCTTCGTGGCCCAATGCCAAGTTTTCGTTGACCTCATTGAGCTTTCCAGGGATTTCGGAATTTGTCACTTGAGATTACTGTTCGTTTGAGAACTGTAACGACCGAACAGCCAATATTCGGTTGGAACAACGGACTGACGAACCCTAAATTTATTCGATTAGACCAGACCAAGTTCCTCTGTATAGCCCACAACGCGTCTTTGAGATACTCGTATTATATTATATCAAAACACAAACTCTGTGCTCAATATAAACGGTTCTAATTAAGAAAACAGAACAAATTACATCAAAAAATACAAAATACCTCAAACGGTACAGCCTGTGCTATACAGTCAGAAGTTTCTCTAACGCAAAGTAGCGCGCTAAACAATGAAAGAGACAGTTAATACTAAAGGGTTTGATACCTGAGAATCAATACAAATATTCCCAACAAAATGGGATCAAATATCTATCTGCAGGGATTGCAGCGATTCTCCCAAGCAGACAGTCAGAAGGTTAGCAGTCACAAAATAGACCACGCCGCGACCTTGAGCTTAGTCAAACGCAACCTTACTGTCAATGGTCCGGCAACATGCAATAGAAAATTAGGTAACAAAAATAAGTCTTTAATCAAAATCACATAATAAAGGCTCAAACGGGGAAGACTTAAGAACAAAAGACATAGTTAAATGAGATCGAAACAAAGGTTGGAATACACAAAAAGGGAGAACGAACAAATAAATGAAAATACTGTTCAACAAAAAAACTGCAGAGGGATTTTCACTGTTCTTTTTCCGTTTCATAGATATTTACACGTAATGCAGACTTAAGAAAGACTACCTCAAACCACATAAAATTTCACTGTAATTCTCTTGATATTTAGTTGCTCAAAAGTTTAGTCGCATTTACTCTACGCTATAGATTGGGTAAACACAGCAATGGATACTGCTCAATTATTCTGTATGTTTGATTAACTAAGAGAACTTTAGATGAGTTGAAGTGTTACATTCCTATTATTCGCTTCATATTATTTTACTTTCTATTCAACCGAAAACTTCCAACGCTTCTCAAATGAGACAAAGTCACGACAGTTTATCCTTCTCAACGAGCTAATTATTTATTTAAGCAAAGATGGATAGTGGCTGGTAGTGGAATACAGTTTGATGCGTGTTTCTTCCTATTCGGAACTCGTCAGTTGAATGTAACAGAATCTCAGAATTGATGTTCACTATGGGACTCGAATGTAGTACCGTTCGCGTTATCCACTTAGCTACTGAGTGCTGAAAGCCACATGCCTGTGCAATGGAAATAATTTAAAATTCACTTGGTACATTTTCACTTCAATCTTCCCATTGTTGTTAAGGACTGCAATTTATTAATCTCTTATTAACATATGTGCATCCTATACGGATTGTCACGATGTCGCCCTAATTCACACGCATTCTGAACAAAGATAGTAAGTGACTAGTAATGAAATCCAGGATACAGGTTTCGTCCCATTTAAGACTCATCAACTAGATAGATCTACATTCCAGTGTTCATCTATCACTTCACGACTCAAACCAATACCATACACCTACCCAACTACTAAATCTCTCATCCATAGAAACATTCAAACAAACAATACCTTCTTCTTTCTCTTTCTTAGATATTTCTTGAAAATGACCGCCACTTTCTTTCATTTCTCTGTCTATTCACAAATTGAAAGAATTTTAAGAGAAAAAAACTCAATACTCATATTGATTGATTTTTTTCTATTTTTTTTTTTCTTTTCTTTTTTTCATCATCAATAAGAAAGTTATTATCTCCACGTTATACGAAGATAATTGATCCAATTTTGTTACTCTTAGAGATAAGCTCAACAATGTGGTGGGCTGATGTTCACATTTGTAACCTTCATACAAATTCAGAATGATCTTCAAAGAATTCGGTGTATATTTTCCTTTTCTCTCTCACTTCTTTTCCTCCTTTTCTTTAACACACATTCTCTGAAGAAGTAGATTATCATGATTGACGAAACATTAGAACATCTAATTTATTTTTAATGTATGCATTATAACATCGAACTCCACATGTAGCTGTTCTTCAATTACTGATTGTCCTAAGCCTCGGTAATTGAGGAGTTTTGGGTACGAGATTAGTGAAAGTGATAGAGAACTACCGTGATGATCAGTTCTAGTATTGAAGTGAAATATTGCTGTAATCAATATAGACTTTCGACTTGATTCATTTGAAGTAACAAAACTTCATTTATTTCATTAGAAAAAGATATTTATCCGCAATAAGAAACTATTCAGAAAGAGGAGGGATTTGTGAAAATTTGAGTAATTCAATAGGTGAATTCATGTGTTAAATAAAGCTAGTCGATTACGGAAATCCTGGAATCATTGGACGGTGTAATAATTTCGTGGATTACTTGAAGTTGGACATACACACCACTGAGTGCTGATCGGTTTAACGGTCTACAGATTAGGCGTTCGTGTGCGAGACATGAAGTTCTTGAGTTCGAATCCCGCGTATGAGATCAAGATGACACACTGCTGAGATATTGGGATTTTAGAAATGAATCCTTGTTTAATATTAATTAGAGTTGACGTCCTGGACTCATTTTAAATAGTTGCTCATTAAGAATCAAAAATCATTAGACTACGATTTTGTTTTAGTATGAGACTTGTAAGCAGTGAGCATTCATGATCTAATAAAGGATAACTATATGTCACAAATAGTCTTTAATATACTTGTCCAGGCTCTAGGTTAATTAGCTAATATAATCAGAAGGAAGGTTTTGTGAAGATTGTAGTGGTATTCCGTATTTATAATCAAATTTCTTGTGCATTTATATGTCAATACTACTTAAATGAAAGTGATTCTCCTTGCGAATTTCTGCTTAGGCATAACTATGTTCTTTTTGGCATACTGCCAATCAGTGGAACAAAAAACATACATTCAGTAATGACTAGAGCTTTCAATCTAATGTACAACGAGAACTATACGTTAGTATGTAACATGATTGAAAGAATGATTACTACTGGTAGTGAATACGACACGATGAGACTATATTTTCTCGACCACCTTTGTGCGACGTTCAAGTCACCTTCAGAGTGTTCACCTAATAATTAGGACCGAATGAGGGTTATAAACCAGTGTGAAGAACAAGGATTATGATCAACAGTTGATGTTTAACGTAAGGAATTAGATGAAGGGGGTTCTCATGATGATCTGACATGAGCTACAACGCCAAAATCGCTATATAGCCAAATGGATGAATGAATTTTTTGCTGAATTCCACGACCTGTTCTCTCGTCACTTTGAGATCAGTCAAAATGTCAGAACAGTAGCAGTGTGACAAGAAGAAATCGAGTTTAAATTTCTATGTCAACTATTGTGATTAGTTTTATACAATACTGATATTTGTTAGTCATAATCAAAAAAGAATTTAATTTATCCCGTGAGGTGATTGAAAGGTAAATTATGATAACCATCTAAGACTTAACATTATTGAGTTTTTTTTAAAATATTTTTTTGGAAGTTTGAAGAATAAACGAACGAATTCAAATAAGTTATCTAGTGATAAACAACAACGAATCGAATGTATAGTGTTGGTTGCTAGGTAAAACCCATATTGTTTATTATAGGTTCCATGCCAGGCAATTTATTCATCCTTGTCGAGTCACGTTTTGATCCTGTTCATCATTCGTTTATCAACGCTTTTCAATCAAATGGATGAATGAAATTCACTCCGAAATCCAAGACTTGTTATCTTATACCTGATTGGCTCGTTCATAAATGATAGTCTAACTAATGAATCATTTTATTCAGAATTTGTTGATTTAATACAGTATTAGGTTGATGTAAAGCAATTTCAAGAAAGACGAACATATTTTCATTGAAGGATCTCAACAACTAAAGTCAACTAATTACCAGTCCGTGGTCAGCTAGTAGAAAACTCTCGATATTTGAAAATATCAGTTACGGTGATGAATTGATCAGTTCGGTCTGTCAGCTTCAGCCGGCATCCAACGGTAATTAGCACTGACATTCAAAAGAAATGACTCATGGTCTTTGGAAAATGTCAGTAAATGATAACAAAGATTATATAACTTGAATTCATCAAAAATTAAAAGGAGTTACCAACGTGATGCATAATATGTAAGGCGTTTTCAGTGAAATAAACTCAGTTCAAGTTTCAATGTAAATATCAATATCAAGATGTAGGCACATTCAACTGACAAGTTCAAATTAGGACGAAACTCAGGTACTGAATTCTCCTGCTAGTCACATGCCCTCTTGCTTTCTTTATAAATATATAT